AAGATGACGTCCAGGGATATCATAAGATATGAACAATTGGACAGTGTCAAGGTGATACATAATCAGTATTCCACAACAGTTAGTTATCTTTTTCCTTTTATTAAAGTTTTTATTTATTTTAGTAACCGGTAACTAAAATGTTTTTTCAATTTCAGTTTTCATTATTTAGTTAGTTTTAGTTAACTATAATAACCCTGGCACCTGTGAGGTTAATTATAGGGTAAATGGTCAGGGTTAGGATACAAAATTACCAGAAAATGAATGGAAGTCAATCCACGGTCCCCACAGGGATATAAAAACAAACCTGTCTGTCTGTGTGAGGGGTGGATGCATCTGATCATTAACTAAAAGCCAACTTTTTAAAGTTCTTGAAAAAATCCCTTGTTGGAGCTAACTCAGTGTTTTTTTAATTACATCAAATGGTTATATTTTTGTATCTTTCATGAATGTAACAAAAATAATTGATTAATAATTCAAGGTCAAAATTAAAATATAAAATTAAACAGATAAGACATCTAACTGATCAGGAATGATTTTATTAAAAAAACAGAGAAATGTATTAAACACAAGTCTAACCACAGAGATGTTTCACTGTTATAAACTGCTGTGATCAGAGTGCATGGAAAAAGACACTAATGACTCTTACAGCCTTTAAAAAGCGTACATCCATTATCTGCTACCTTTAGGCAAATTTAGTCCCAGCCCCTGATCCACTCTCTTTCACAGTCACTCATTATGGCAGGCTATTTTAACATAAAATCAGCTTTACCACACTTACAACTCAGATAACTGATGTTGGTTTATGGCTTGTCATATTAGTTATTTTAGATATTTCTCATTTCATTTTGACTCATAATAACTTCAGATTTACCATTAACTTGTATGGAGGCTCTGATTAAAGAGATCTCAAAAGGAATTTTGGTCAGTCATAAATAGAATTTGACACATCTCCAAGTTAGTTTTAGCTATAGCCTTTATTTACTTTTAAGATCTCTTTTTTTCTTCTCAATTTCAATTAAAGATATCTTAAATGACATCATTATTCAAGTTTTATTAAAAGTATTTTTAGATATCACATATAAAGGTTTGACTTGTGGAAATTAAAATGTAAATATATTGAAAGCAAATAATAACTAAATCACACTGTAAAACAAAATAAGTTGACTTTACTTAAATAATTATGCAAACTTGTTGCCTCAAAAAACTTAAGTAATCTTAACTCAAATATCATAAGCTTGCACAACTCAACTAACTTGATAATTTTAAGTAACAAAATAGTGCACAAAACTTAAATCTACTTAGTAATTGCAACTTAAGTAAAATTAGTTTTCTATACTTAAAATATAAGTTATAAAAATCTTGTAAACAGGTGGCCTTGAAAAATGTAAGTATAACTATTAATCTTATTTTTTTTACTTAAGGTACACTTGTTCAGTGTACTTAAGAGTTTGTTGTATGAACTTATTTTTTTGAAGGTAATTCAATTTATTTTTGAAGGTGTTTTAATTTTGAAATAGCAAGAAAATGAAGTTAGTCTGACTTACATGAACAGTATAGTTTACTCATCAGAATCTAGGAAAATGTCTCAAATAAAGAAAGTAACCACAACAAAAGATGATAAGTTCACAAGGTTCAATGTTTTATTTTTAACAATTGTTATCCTTAGCATCCTTAACGAAAGGCGAATGTGGCCAGTGAAACACATGAAATAGAAAACGAATCAAGTTTTTACACTTTCACACACTGTAACGTTCTTTCAAGTTAATTTTACTGCTGTGACTGACTTAGAACATGACCCACGGGCTTATTGATTCCATGTTGTTTAGTACAAAATAAAAGTTTATTGTTATCAATGCAAATACACATTTATGTTAAATAACTATGAAGTCAAAAATGTAGCAAACCTTGTCCTTATAAATTCAAGAGGCAAGAGCCTGATAACAGGAAATTTTCAAAATGTTAACTATGACAGCACACTGGCATCAACAATAATAACACAGAAAAATTATGCACACAAAGAACAAATATGTATTTACCGAATTAATGTACCATACGGGTAAATAAGAGCTGATGATGAAAATAACCAGAAGTTATGAGATGTGTTCAGAATCAGGCATAAATCTCTATGGTTAGCAGGTATGCTAGTAGAGCAGGATATGGAGTAAAGTTGATCTGAGCATGCCCAGAATGTTAGGCGTTAACTCTTTACAATCCAAAATCCACACTACTTTTCAATACTTAATTTTTTTGAGTGGACTTAACTTAAATACTGTATATGAAGTTATCAAGCATTTTCTATCCAAAAGTTCACATCACTTAATTAAGATGAGTTTAACCAACAAGTTGGTGAAATTTAAGTTAGCTTAACTTGAATTTTTTTAGTAAGCAGAACCTTGTCCTCACCTTCAGAGCTCTTCATGGCCAAGCCCCAGAATACATTAAAAGTCTCATTTCCCTTTACAACCACAGACGGGACCTCCGCTCACAGGATCAACATCTCCTTATGGTTCCCCTCACTTGCTTCAAGATCCCTGGTGACCGTGCCTTCTTCTCTGTGGCCCCCAGGCTCTGGAATGAACTCCCTTTTAATCTGCGCTGCATTGATAACATTGTCTCTTTCAAGAAACACCTAAAAGCTCTCTTTTTTCACTCAAGCATTTAGCTAACCATTTCACCATTACTACCAGCCTACCTCCATTGTGAATGCTACGCTAATCTTTGTTTTCTTTACTATTGAACTTAAGCCATATTTTCTCTCCCGCATTCATTGTGTTTTTGTGTATTACTGTATATTTTGACCTGCATTGACCTTGTGTTTGATTTACAATTTTAGAAATTAATCCCTGATTTGATGTTCAATTTTCGTTCCTTATGTGTAATTATGTTTTTCTGTTTCATTTTATTATTTTCATCATTTTTATACTGTTAATGATTGTACAGCACCTTGTGAATATATTTCTGTGAAATGCGCTTTATAAATAAAACTTTACTTACTTACTTACTTACTTGTAAACTTACGTACATTGCATTTATAAGTTATTTAGAACTATAATTTCTTGGTTTGATGTTTCAATTTTTTGTTGCTTATGT